AAAAATATCTCTAGAATGTATAAAGTGTTACTAAAATGGTATACTGAAGATGAGACTGTGAAAGGGCAAATGATAAAATGGGCGATAAATATGAATAAGGAAGTGTCTATTGAAACCTGGGAATATTTGTGGAAAAATTCTATTAAGATATCGCCTTGTACCAATGTTAGAGAGAATTGTTATAAAATGATGTATAGGTGGTACATGACTCCGAAAAAAATTGCAAATATGAACCAGAGTATGTCAAATAAGTGTTGGAAATGCAAGAGCCATGAAGGCTCATTTTATCATATGTGGTGGACTTGTGAGAAAGCAGTTGACTTTTGGACAAAAGTCCACAAAGAAATGCAAAAAATACTGAAATGCTCTTTCAAAAAGGCGCCGGAAATTCTGCTTTTGGGACTGAAAATGGAAGAAGTCAATACAACTAAAAAGACTTTATTCTGGTACTTAATCACAACAGCGAGAATGATTTATGCACAATTTTGGAAAACAGAGAAAGTGCCAGAAATTGAAGACTGGATACAAAAAGTTCTGTTCATGGCAGAGATGGACAAAATTACGAAGAAGTTGAATAATAAAGAAGATGACGTGTTTTTTCAAGAATGGAGTGACTTTAAAACATATCTGGAAAAGAACTGGGATGTGAAACAAAACTTAATATGTTTAGATCAATATTAAGTCAAATGATGTTATCTTTAGACTGTAACGATAAGAAACTGATATAGTTGATGATATGAAGCAATTTGGAGCAGGGGGGGAAGCACTGCGGGAAGCCACCGGAGGGAGGGGAGGAATTGGGAACGGGGTAGACAATTGATAGAATGAAATGATTTAATTTTATATGTTGTATTCCTGAGAAAATAAAAATTTGTTTACCAAAAAAAAAAGAATAAAGTTGTGTTCTTGCTGAAATCACTCTCCGACTATTTGTTAAGCACGTGACTTAACATGCACCCGAGTGCCTAACAAACTTACACTCTTCCTCCCTGCACCATTGTCTCATCAATGCATAGAGACTCCTCATTTGTGCCTGTCTAGCTGGCCCTGCACATGGAACACACAGCTCTTCTGAGAAGGCCACCTTGGAGGTTCTGGCCTTGAGTCTCCTGCCTTGCAGCCTAAATTTTTCCTCCAGGACCACACAACTACATTTCCACATGACTACATTTCAGATATAACATGAAGCCACAGCTTATTTTTGCTGTGGTTAGGTAGTGGCACCAGTATTTGGTTCACACACAAATAATTGAATCCTGGCTTGTCTTAGCAAATTCTGGTTTCAGTGTTGTTGCTCTTTTTTTTTCTGTTTCCCAGACAGTGACCTGGCTGCTATCCCAGGTTGCCTTGTGGTGTGGTGCCAAACTGATGGTAAAGCTTCACCACATCAGCCCACGTACCATTGGCTGCTGATAATACTAAGATAAAGAAACTTTTCTTGGGAAGTTCAAACACTCTCAAAATGGCAATCAGCCACTGAGCCGTGCCCCCCTCCCACCACTGTTTGGAGGATAGCAAAGGAAGCCGCCAGAGTTTCACATTAACTCTTTCCTCACAAAAAACTGAAGGAAATAACCTATTGGTGCTAGGGTTGCCAACTCACTTTTTGCCGGGAGCGGGGGGCTACCGGCCGGCGTCCTCTTTGTGTGCGCGCACGCGCCCCGTGTGCATCACCCGGAAGTGACGTCACACGCTGGGGGTGGGGCGACGCCATTTGAGGGGAAAACTCTTTGTTTTCCCCTCAAATGGCGTTGCCCCGTCCCCAGCATGTGACGTCACTTCCGGGTGACGCACATGCGGGGGTGGGGTTTCCCCCGGGCCCCGATTGCGCAGGAGCGGGAATCGGGGCTCAAAACCAGGGGGAATTCCGCCCCCCAGGGGGATTTGGGACCCCTAATTCGTGCCAATTTCGGTGGTACACACACACATACATGAACACAGGCAGAACATCTGCTTGGCATGCAGAAGGTCTCATCTCATGTTGGGTCTTCCTGTTTTCCTGCAGCCTTCAGCTTTTCCTAGCATTTTCCAGTGACTCTTGTCTTCTCATAATGTGACTGAACTACCAGGCCCATCCCAGCCTGGCAACTAGTAGAAGACTAGGTGGGATGGGCAGGGCCAGCTCCAGGTTTATTTGCACACTAGGCGAGGCTACCTTCTGGCGCCCCCATGCCCCCGTGTGCCCACCAATTTTCAAATATAAATGCATTTTAGGAAGAATGAAAAAATATTAAAAAACCAATGAATCAATAACAGGGCCATTAACAAGGCCAGGATTTATTATACTAACATGGCAGGTTGTGAAAAAATCTTAAAATAAGAACCAGAAAGAGGAAAGCACGTGTAACTAGACTGAACATAAATTCCCCCACTTAGACTTCCTTCACCAGCCTCTCTTCCCTTATCGTTGCTCATATGTCAGATTTTAGATCGCAAACTCTTCAAGATCTGTTTCCAGAAAGGGCCAGCCATGTTAATCTAATACCACCTTTTCATTCTAGCATAAAATGCCACAGAGAAGAGCACTCTAGCCTATGAAAGCTTATGCAACAATAAGAATGCATTGGCCTTTAAAGTGCCACTTCAAGACATCCTATTTGTCTTCCACCATGCAAGGCGGGCGGTGTCAGCGGCTCCCTCTGCCTTTCCTCCTCCTCCTCCTCCTCTGGCCACGGGTGGGCAGCCAGGGCAGCAGGTTCCTGAAGTCTCGCCATCCTGGCCGAGGGGAGCTGGGAGAAACTTTCCTCTGTCCACGTGGATTGGCCCCAGGGGAAGCGGCGCAGCTCCAGTGCCAGAGTGGTGGCAGCGCCAAAGGTAAGGGAGGTGAGAAGTGGCGGTAGGTTACCGGCGAGCACGCAGCAGCAGAGGAAGCTGGTGCCCAAGGTGCATGGGCTCTGCGGCACACCCATGGGGTTGGGGAGATCACTCCGGTGGGCGGTGGTGGCTCGGCTCTGGCTCCCCTGAGGCTGGCTCCATCCAGCTAACCCCCTCCCGAGTCTGCCCAGGCTGGCGCCCTCTCTCTCTGGCTGGGCAGTCTTCCCTGTTTAGGTGAGGGAGGGAGGGAGGGGCAGCAGGCCAGCGGGGTGCCCCCTCTTAAGGGGCTGCTCCAGGCCGCTGCCTAAAAATTGTCTATGACGGGCCAGCCCTGGGGATGGGACATGGGGACCACAATCAGGGGGATGGGACATCACTTCTGGGCAGACCGAGAAGTGATACCACACCTTGCTAGGAATCACCCAAAATTCTATCGAGATTTTTGGAGTTCAGTGAGACAGGTCAGAGGTTTTGGAGGCAGCAGGCTATAAATAACGACAAATGTCTCCTCTTCATGGTCTGGTTTTCCTACTTCCATGAAAGTATTGAATATCTTATCTGTTTAACATATTTTGATTGTTGTTATGTATTGGGATTGAATCATCCCTCATCGAATCACCCCAGAGACTGGCTGAGCCTGGAGCGCAAGAACAATAGCCAACCAGGACTCTAGAATAAACCAATTAAGTAGTAATGTTATGTAAATAGCCTATCACTGGGAGTGGGGTGTGTTTGGGTGTGACAATTGCATGCTGTTTAACAGAGTTGAGGCTCTGGAGTCTTGTCTTGTAGTTTTGCTGAAATCACTGAATAAACCTGAGCTGATCACTACCATTCGTCTAGAACCCAGTATTTTCTCTTGTTATATTTCTAGAAATAACTAATAACATGTGAACAGGGAAGATGAAGGTGAAGGAATAAGTGTGCACATGTAAGTGAACCCAGGCTTTGGGTTGCCAGTTGGGAGCTGGTAACCCCAGGAACATTTTGGGGGTGGAGATAAGTGTTGCTCACTGTTATGAGATGCTGCACAATGCCACTTCCAGATCCTGAACCACCAACTGGAGAGCTACCTAGTCTCAGCAGGCAGGTAATTAGCTGGCAAACAAGGAGAGATTCCAACCCTTGCTGGTAGAAGCTTTGCTCATTATAAATGGGAGATGAGTTAGAAACATTAATAGCATGTGTGTGTCTCATTCCCCAGTGAATTCCTCTTGCCAGATCTGCCCTCCACACTGGCACCTCCACCAGGACAAATGTTACTGGCTATCAAAGGCTTTGAAATCCTGGAATGAGAGCCAAAGTGACTGCTTAGCAAAGGGGGCTCAGCTGGCAGTGATCCAAGTCGAGGAGATGGTAAGTAACAGAAACAACCTCACATTTTCATCACTTTTGCGTTTATAGTGAGGTCAGCCTTTCTGTCCGAAAATAATCATAGTTAATGCATTGGCCTTAGGGAACTAATTAATTTTTTAAAATGTATTTTATTAAGTGCCACGTTGTCAGACTTGTGATACTGCAATAACCATATGTAGCCTTGAAATTATGAAGCTTTTCATAGTTTTGGTGGAAAGTGAGCAAAGCCTATGATCAAGAGCCAGTTTGGAAGAGACTGGAAAGGAACCCACTTATTCCCTGCCAATGTTTCTGAGAACCAAGTTCAGTGGAACCAAGTGGCTGCATTCTGCAAAGGTTGAGAAGAGACTGAAATTCAATTCCAGTTCCTGAAAAGGGAGAGTTCTGGTGTGTGTGTGTGTGTGTGTGTGTGTGCTGGTGTTTTCACTGGCTCGATGTATCAAAGAAGTGCAGGCTAAGTCCACCCAGGGGCACCCTTGCCTTATAAATCCCCAAAACACCTGTTGTAACTTGGTGAAAATACAAATGCCTCATGTGAGGAAATGGTTTGACAAGTCTCATTTCAGAAGCTTGGAAATTTGGCAGCCGTCTCCACCCAGTAAACACCCTCCATACCAGCAAACCCTTCTGTCTGGGTATTTCTGCTGCCACCTACTAATCCTGGGGAGTATTTCCTGATAAAGGACTAGCACTCTAGCACTCTGCATTGATGCAGCAGAGATGACTCTGTCATTCCTGTTCCAGAGCAATAAGAGCCCAGAGCACTAACCTCTCCCCCATTCACACAGAAGCCTGTGTGGTGAGGGGGTGAACCTTTCTGTGCCACTGGGCTGCTGTTATGTTTGGGAAATGACTATGACCAGTGGGACCTGCACAACCATTCACAGCCACCCAAGGCACTTGAGAGACCAGTTCTGAATCACACCAAGAGAGTTTTGCCCATTATTAGTTATTTCCAGAAATATAACAAGAGAATGACAGCACTTTCTAGTTGCATAAAACACTCTGTTTATGATACAGGAGTTGTTAAAGAAGATTACAGAGGATACACATAAATATTGGATTGGACTCTTTTTATCAGAGAAGAAATGGAGGTGGATTACACGTCACCAGTTTGACCATAGTTTGTAAGTAGTTCCTTTTTCAGGGTGCCTGCCTTTCCATTAATTTTTTTCCCTAAAGAGTAAAGCATGAAGTCTCTATGTTTGGGATGATTCATGGGCCAGTTGACATGATACAAAGTCTTGTGTTCACCATGAGGACTTTATATCAGTCATACAATGGGAGTTCTTTGCCTCTGTCTTGTAATGGTGACTACAAATAAGTTTACCAGTGGAGCAAATAGCAGCTCCCCAGAAGCAAAAATGGGGCAGGGGGAAAGACTGAAGGCCATTCTCCCCACATTCTGTGGTCATGACCAGAACTGGGCCCACCCATATCCATTTGAGAGGCACAGAACTTCCATTGCTTCCTTGATACAAAGTCCTTGCAATGGCTATGAGGACTTTATATTGTCTGAATTGGGTTGGAACAAAGTAAAAGAAATAAAATATAACTATGTACGTAGTGCAAATGTGCAAAATATTGTATATAATGTAATAATACATCCAGAAGTGCTAAAATATTATTTAACAACAACAATCCTGTGGTTCAGCATATAAGTACCTACTCCTAATATAAAGACAAATGTCCATTTACATAAATACAGGTTTAAAAGTACATATTGTCTCCATATGTAAGCAACAATACCAAACATCTTTTTGGCACCTGGCTTTCGTCAGTGGTATAATTCAAACTGAGGATTCCATAAATTTAACAAAAACATACATAAAACTGACCATACACAGAATGGAAATTTTACATTTCTACATGATGATTGATAGAAAAAACACCAGGAACAGAAACTGGGAGCAAAGGCAGGGCTGGGGAAGAGATTCTTATTAGAACAGGAAGAACTTCCACATTCTTAAGCCCTAATGAGGAACTGTCTCCTTTTCATTTGCAGGTTACAGGAACCACTGAGCTCTGCTGGAGAGGAATCCTGTGGAAGAATAAAGAGTAGCACAATCACCCTTGATATCTGCACTGCTGTATATAAGTGGATTTGCCAGAAAGATCCCATTTTATTATGATATTGTGATTGATAAAATTATTTTCATTATTTGCTAGGAACATAAAATTCCATGAGAACATCTTTATTTTCACTACAATGCCTAGTTTTGAAATACATTCTGTTTACATTTCAGCAGACACTGAACTGGTTGAACTGGTGTCGAACTGATATTGTGACTGTCAGTAAGGTACAGGTTTCGATCAAAGGTCCGGTGGGGTCTGCCTACCCAGGCTGCCTACCCAGGCAAAGCAACAGGCAGAGCTTGTTGGAAATATGTGTCAGTCATTATAGGGTTGATCTGTTTACCTTGTGTGCTATTGTTTAGACTGACCTGGAAGGGAAACCTGGCAGAGAGCCAATGGGAAGAGAGCCTGGGAAATCTAAGTCTGTTTACTCACCATCATTGGTTAATGTATTCAGGTGATTTCCTTCTAGGGGTCAAGAAGAAGAAGAATCTCCATTGCTGTTGTTGCCAAGAGACTGTGTGGCCGGTCTGTCTTGTAGCTGTAGAGATGTAGCCTTAGGTCTTTGTTACTTTGTAGCTTTTCCTGTGTACCCTTCCCTTAAAAAATAAAGATCTTTACACAGAAAGAAATGCCTCATCTCCAGTGAAGCAAAGATCCATTGCAAACATTGAATTTCTGAGTATTTTTGCCATTTTTTCCAACAGAGCTGAGTGACATCACCTCCTTCAGTCCCGCCACCCTGAACCATACGTACTAATTTTTGAAGTGCCAGAGCTCCTTGTGACATCCCATAGCTGCACCCCCAGTAAGCTTATACAGCAAAAAATTGAACTCCCTCCCATACACAGGAGTTCTTTGCAATGAGTAATGAACACAGGATTAGGACAGAAACCCAGATAGAGAGCCCTGCTAGATGAGTCCACGAAGCTCACTGCCTCTCACTTCAAAAGTCAAGCACTGGTGTAAAACCCAAATAACATTCAACTTAGTATGTTTCAGGAAGCTGTTGCAAACTATTATTTATTTTTCTTAGGAAATATATTTTGTCATCACTGGATTAGTTCATCAAGGGCGTAGACTTTCCAATTTCCCAGGGGGGGCTGGGGCTGGGGCCGGGCCAGAGGCATTGCTAAGTCATTAAAAGAACTGGGACCCAATGACATCCAGGGCCGGCTCACTCACTAGGCGAACTAGGCGATCGCCTAGAGCGGGCCAGCCCTTAGGGGCGCCAAGCTGCACCCGCCCCGTACTCTGGGAGTTTCTTGATTATTTGTGTTTTTCATTCTTCCTAAAATGCATTTATTTTTGAAAATTGGTGGGGGGGGGGCGCCAGAAGGGATCCTCGCCTAGGGTGCAAAATAAGCTGGGGCCGGCCCTGATGACATCATAGGGAGGAGCTAGTGATATCACAGGCATGGTTACTATCTATGGAGGTGGACCCATGTGGGATTTAGGGATGGGCTCCCCAGAAATTTAGGGAGGCCTGGGAACCGCCCTAGCAATGTCCCTGGGCTGGGCTAACCCCAGGAACAGTTGCCTTCTTAGAACACTGCTTAGAAACTTAGAAAGCCCCCCCCCACACCCCACACTGGAATAAGAACATAATATCAGGCCATACCACATTGCAATAAAGCCCCTACAACTGTATACAGAAATACTGAGCTTCCCTACCATTTGCCACAACTAGCCCACCACACAACCAGGATCAAGACTCCTAAGTGAACCAACAGACAGGCATACACTCGTTTGAGAAACTGAGTATTACATTACAACACCTCTGGAACATTACAGATCAGTAGAGGCAGCACTGCACAGTGGTCAGAGTTGCAGATTGATGTGGGGAGACCCAGGTTTGTATTCTCACTCTGCTGGCTGAGTGACCCCGGGCCAAATCTCCCCTTCTCTACCTAACCTACCCCACAGGGTTGTTGTGAGGGTAACACACACACAATTTTTAAAAAGGTGTTCAAAAGTTGGAACTATTGGAAGGGGAAGGACTTGCCTGGGGCACCACTGGATCTAGGGCTGGTCCTGCATACATGCAGCTGGGATGAATCTGAATTAGCGTTACAGAGTGCTCAGGGGTAAAATCTGTAGGGGCTTGCTACATGTCCCCACCCCCTGGCCTCCTCTCAGGGCCGGCCCCAGTTTTTTAGCACACTAGGCTGCAACAAACTTTGCAACAAAATCTGAAACACTATGTACAACAAATACTTTTCAGCAAACTAAATCCTGGCTTGAGTCCAGTGGCACCTTTAAGATCAACAGATGAGCTTTTTTGTGCACAAACACTCTTCTTTAGATACAATGAAATATAGAGAGAGGGTGGGCAGTAACTTCACATACATGTATGTTAAAGAAGCTCATACTAGAGTTGCCAGGTACCTCCCGGCCACTGGCGGGGGATGCCAGATACAGACTGGGAGATGCCAGCGGGCTCTGTTTCAGGCCACCCGCCACAGCCTCCAACCCCTCAAAAAGTTCTCCTCTTCCCAGATCTATCATTGGAAGCATTAAATAAACAGAGAAGCCTTAAACCCATCACAACTAGGCTTGCTAATGCATGCATTCATTACAGATAACAACATAAGAGAAGCCATTGTTGGATCAGGCCAATGGCCCATCCAGTCCAACACTCACACAGTGGCCAAAAATACCAGGTGCCATCAGGAGGTCCAGCAGTGGGGCCAGGACACTAGAAGCCCTCCCACTGTGCCCCCCCCAAGCACCAAGAATACAGTGCATCACTTGCCCCAGACTGAGAGTTCCTATCTATAGCTTGTGGCTAATATCCACTGATAGATCTTTGCTCCATATGTTTATCTAATTCCCTCTTGAAGCCGTCCATGCTTGTAGCTGCCACCACCTCCTGTGGTAGTGAATTCCACGTGTTAATCACTCTTTGGGTGAAGTACTTCCTCGTCTGGTCTGCTACAAGTAGTATCATCCTTAATCACCAAGAGAAGTCCTATGTAGCTACAAGATCTAGAGAGCAGGCAAGGTCTCCTCCAAGCTTTAAACATCGAAGCTCCAGCAGACCCTCCAAAGATTTCTTCAAAGGAAGAAAACAAATGGAGCAAAATACCAATTACACAGTCTCAATAACATTAAAGCTAGCATTAATACTGATGCACTTTCTCCTTATTCTTTTCTTAGTTATATGATATGTAATTTGAACAAGGGATCAAGGTTGTTTCCTTGAACAAGGCATGATTTGGGCAATAGGATT